TACAACTACATCAACTAGTAGAATAACAGAAGATACTAGACCAACTACAACTACATCAACTAGTAGAATAACAGAAGATACTAGACCAACTACAAAGTATGTCACAATCTTTAATCCACGAACCAATGCTACAGTAAAATTCATAGTAGGCCCCACACGGAGAACAACATCATCTACAACGACTACTACGCATGCTCCATTCAGGATCTTGAGTGAGTCAAAAATAAAATTTGATATATTGTACCTTTACAGCTATTTCAATCAAGTTTGTTTTACTGAATACTCCATAGTGCATARCGCATTACCATATTGAGATTCGAGGCAAAAGTAAAGAAAAGTATTTTGTATTCYACAAAAAGAGATGGTTGGTTTAGCTTGGTCTTGGCTTCTAAAAGACTCCCGTTAAAATAAGCCACGATGACTCAAGCTGCAATAGTCTCCTTCACAGTTCCCTGCGCCATCTTGAAAGGTAGCCGTGCCATTACATGTGAATAATTGTCCAAGGTGTTAAAAAAGGTCTCTATCATTGCAAGCTCACCGTTGGTCTCGCTTCTATGCAAAGGCACGGCTACCTTTCAAGATGGCGCAGGGAACTGTGAAGGGGACTATAGGTTGCTATCAATAGACGTCACTCCCGGTAATAGCTCTTTTTTGATGGCTTGTAGAATCCTGGAGGTTGTTTTGATCTCTTGTTTTCTGGTTTGATGTCGTGAAAATAGTCAAATACAATAGTTTGAGGACTTATTTTGATATGGTTGGACTTAGCATCCGCTAGTTGCCCCCCAGAAACCGCTTGTTTGCCCCCCAGTCAACTCCAAAAAGTCACGTGCTTGATAGTAAGCAATTCMMTATGCAGTATTCAGTATCATAGTTGAAACAACTTTGTTTGGAAAAAAGACACTTGATTTTTTAATAATCTTTAATAAAATATTTCAGATGGCTACCGTGTTTATATARGAGGATAGAGACACGCTCGCGCAAAATCGTTCAAAAAATTTATAAAAGCAATATAAAACGGCTGCTTATGTCTCTGTACTGTGATATAAAAACTCTGGGAGCTGTAGAGCAGGAAAGTATGAGAGCACTTGTCTACGTSTCCTGATCCTAARCTTGCTTTTCTCCTGCTCTACMGCTCCCAGCGTGTTTATATCACAGCACAGTTTCAAAATATTCCTTAAATTRATACAATTTGCTGATTTATCATTTCAACCGGCTATACACATATATTTTTTCTGATGCGAGAAAAATATAGTCTCTACTAAACAAAAGTGCACWTTTGAGAGGCTTCAATCGTATTCCGAACCTTTCAAATTTCCGAATCTTTTCTCATTTTTTTTACATCATAACAGGCTCGAAACAGCGTATACCAATTACTTACTTTTATCCTTCACCTACAAAGGAGCGTAAGTATTACGGTTTTGTATTTGAGCAGTTTTCGTATGACTGTGAAAAGCTCAGTGCCGTAAGCGTGACGTGCCGTGACCGTGATACTTTCTAGAATTTTAATTGGCTGATTTTTTTCACGCGCAATATGATTGGTCTAAAAGTGCCGTGATCTTGGCGTGACCGTGTCCGCGCCGTGTTTATGCCGTGTTCCGGGTATTTGACTGGATGGAGAGTAAATTCTCGTGCAATGTGATTTGTCTGTCGTATCCCTTGCTGTGTYACGACCGTGTTTGTGCCGTGAACTTTTCACAGTCATACGAAAACTGCACTAATGAAAATTGTGTTTTTTTTGGTATCTCTTGATAAAGGTTTTAATGCAGGAGTTCTCTTGCATGGTAGTCTGGCCTCTGTATAAAAACAAAGGTCAACCTGATCCTGAATAGTGACGACATACTGTATTTGCCACAAWTGTTATTGATGCTGCTGCTGTTGTTATTGCTGCTTATGCCTTGTATTMATTCTGACTTGAAGTCGTATATATGCTTATTTCTGATACTTATTTCTCAGCTAGATGCGGAGGCATTCTGACGTCATCTAAAGGGGTTATACAATCCCCTAATTTCCCTCAACCCTATCCTCGAAACTCAGACTGTAAATGGATTATCAGTTTGCCGAAAGTCTATCATGTGATTACCATTCTTATTGAAACCATGTTTCTGGAGTTGGATCAAAATTGTGCGTAAGTACCAGTGTTGTCTTTTTCTCTTATTGGCGATGTTTTCTGTTGTCACTGTTGCTATCTTTGATGTTTGCTACGTAGTGATTAAATTGTTGAATTTGTTGTTTTTGTCGCTGTTTGTCACTGTTTGTCCTTCTTGCTGCTGTTGTTGTTGTTGCTGCTGTTGTTGCTGCTGTTGTTGCTGTCTTTAAAGCATTAAAATGTTGCCGCTGTTGGTTTTGCCGCCGTTGCTGCTGTTGCCACTGATGCCGTTGTTCTTGCTGCTGCTGTTGTTTTTGCTGCCGTTGCCACTGTTGCCGTTGTTCTTGATGCTGTTGTTGTTGTTGCTGTTGTTGCTGCTGCTGTTTCTGTAACTACTGCTGTTGTTGCTGTTTTTACAGCATTAAAGTGTTGCCGCTGTTGTTGTTGCTGCTGTTGCCACTGTTGCCATTATTTTTGCTGCTGCTGCTTCACCAATGATTTCTTCACCGATTTTTTCCTCCTTTGTGTTGTTTYCAGTATAGTATTATTATTTTTCCCTTCCTCAACAGATACGACTATTTAATGTTTCTAGACAAACTGTACAACCAAGTGGGTTGTAGACATTGTGGATCTTATGTTCAACCAAAAGTTTTAGACATCAAAGGACATGTTGCTATTGTAGAATTCCATTCCGATCATAACCACGGAAAAAGAGGATTCCGTCTACGCTACAATGCTCACGTAGGTTTCATTCGTTTATTATATAACTTAGATCGGTTTAATCGTTCGTGAATGCGTCTTTATAGGCGTCGTAATAGCTCAGGTGTAATGTTTTCCCATTTCACACCTCATTCATTCTCCAGATTATTATTTCTTTATTTAACGGTTGTGTATGAGAAGATAGATTAATATGGATACAACTCAAACAAACTTATTCTCCAGAATGACACCTGGTCCAAAATGGGAAAACATTACGCCCAAGCTAAAGAGTTCTATTATATATATTTCATCGTTATTTTAGTGTTCATATCAATAGAATAGTAATATATATACAAATAGTTATTCGTGTTTCTTGCGCGATTCCTTTTAGTGGAACTTTTAAAGAAGTAAGATAAGAAGAAGCAAAAATAATGAAGAAAGAGACGGGGACCATAAGAAAAAGGAGCAGGAGAAGGAGCAGAAGAAGAAGAAGGAGACGGAGAAGGAGAAAARGGGGGAGAAGAAAAAAACCCAGATATTTCTGGATGTATACTATTTATACGCAGTTTGTCAACTATTCCAGAATTTATATAACAGGAACACGATTTTCTTTGGAACAAACATTGTCTACTTTATGCACTTACTTGCACTTTCTGCAAAGGACGTCTAATGTTTCATGTGTTTAGTGCTTGACACGAGAACCTGATCCGGAGTTTCAAGTTTATAAGCTAAGTGAACACTTGTATGAGCTTCGCTTTCTTGTGCTTGATGACGTGATCCATGTAGTAGTCGTGAAATATTCGTGAAGTCGTTGTGAGTTAACAGTGTTYTCGTCGTTATAATAATCTGGCCCCAATTGAGATCTCTGGGGCACACCAGAGGTTATCTTTTTTGAAACAATATACTTACTCTTATTTTGATGATAGCATCAAAATCAATTCTATTTATATAT